CCACTTTCCTCTCTCCATCGCGCATTCTTGCTTTCTACGCCTGGCAAGAGTAAACCACATTGGACTGTAGTCATCCTCTCCGACAACAGCGACGGCGCACAACAAATTATCTTTGGCATCGACGCCACCTCCACGTACCCGTTAACGATGACTTCACTCGGCTCGGGCTCCACCGAGCATCCGAAAGCATCGTCCACTGAACCACTTCTCCTCAATTTCCTCAGCCACCTCCCCCCAAACATCACCCTATCTCGCCCATCCACGTCTACATTTAAATCTACTGCGGGTCATCCTCACGTAGACACCTATCTCCGGGCCAAGGACGGACACCTCTACTTCCTTCCCTTCGGCCTCCTCTTTGGCGAAAAGAAGCCGTGCGAGTACATCGACACGCAACACATCAAAAGCATCCACATTCAATCTGCCAGCGGGCGGTCATTCTCCTTGATCGTCACCCGCACCCCCGAGCCACGCGCTAAAGATGGGATGGAAGTGGACGGGGAAGAGGCCGAGACAGAGACGGAGGGAGAGCAAATTGAGTTCTCTCTCATCGACGGCCGCGAGATGGATGGGGTTAAATATTGGATCCAGAAGAATATGACATCGTTTGGGAAACCTCACGAAGGGGGGTCGTCTCAACTGCAGACACAAACGCAGGACCGGGGCCAAAAGCGGGAGCAGGAGCAGAGCGAGAACGGCGTCTCTGATAGAGTCAAGATCGACAAAGGAAAGGGAGTGGCGCTCCCCAACCCGGACGACGACTCAAGCGACGATGAGGATTTTAACCCAGAAGATTACTCCGACGGCGAGCCTCCCGAAGAGTATGATTCGGACTTCCAGAGTGATGAGGGCGATGGGGGAGGCTCGGGCTCAGACGATGAAGGTGGAGATGGCAGCGAGGAGGACAGTGACGGGGAAGGGGGTGAGACCAACGGGTTGGCTACTGGCTCAGGAGAGGCCTCGGGATCTGCAGCTGCTCGTACTGCCAGGTCAGATGTTGGTAACGAGATTAATGAGGTAGATAGCGACTGAAAGGGGGGTTGTTTTATGCATCTGAGCATTCGCGTACACTTTGAATAGAGATCCATTTTCTAGATTGCATCCCTGTACGTATCTTCCTACCGCCACTTACTCGAGCAAGCAACCTCGACAGCGCTTGAGATCTGGGAGTGACTAGTGCCCATGGCGCGTATAATTTCAACACGTGTAGGCGTTCTGGCTGATCATCTACAAGCAACACTCGTGACTGCAACCATTTTGGGAAATAATAGGGATCCTGAGGCTCGTTTGGAATGTGGTCGGCGTATAAAAGCAACGCGTAGAAATCGACGTCACCCTCTCTATTAGGCTATCAGGCTACAACCGCAATCTCCGCAGACCGCTCGCGACTAATGCGCTCGGCTCGATAGTGAATGAATTGATACAGAACCTGGTGATTCATTCGATATCAGCAGCGTAGAAACCTCGAGGCCAAAAGAGCGGGAAGTGGTCTTACGTATATATCTAGGAGGATGGTACCAATGCTTCCTAGAGGTGAAGAAAAAAAGAGTGAGAGCCGGGTTAGGCTGAGATGGATATTGCGGTGGGAGTCCGACGTACCTGCCAGCCAACTTGCATTCACCAAGAGGTAATGCTTATCCATGGAGGCGGAGCATATCGATAAAACGTAGGTGATGTTGCCTGTCATGGCAAATGCGAAAAACACAGGCGAGAGTCCAGTGCATTTGGTTTCCCTGTTCTTAACTGCAATTCGGCTATCATTAGCTCCAAGATTTCACTCAATTAGATCAAAGGGCCGCATCTCACAGATCTGCGGAATACGGGATGATACTGGGCATAGAGAAACAGCGTTAGGTGATCAAACCGAGAGGTTGAGTACAGATCTTAGACAAACTCACGATAAAGGAGCATGCTGATATAGCCTAAAATCTGACTTGTCAAATCCATGGGGCCGTCCTCCGTAGGTGTCTTGGCCTTGTTAGGACCAAAGTACCATGCCGCAACCCCGGTGCCGATGACAAAGAGAACACAAATGGCGTTCCGAAGCATCTGGCCACGAGCGTTTTCGGCGGCCGTTTTAACGCGAACTTCCTCATCGGAGCTGGATCCCGCGAGCAAGCCGGTCGTCTCTGCCGATCCCCCTGCAACCTCCTCCTTCTCTAATCGTGCTGCTGCCTTCCAGCGGTAGTAATATATCTGAGCCAACAAAAGGATGTCGCACAAGCTGTACTGGGAATTGATATGCCGTACGTGGGTAGGGATATTATTTGGACGAAAGATGAAAAGTGAAAGGAGGACGCACGTATAGAGCCACGAAGGTTACAGTGGGTAACAGGCCCGCCAATAAAGCACCCAATAAATTAGTGAGATCGCCAACGAGCCATATGAGTATGAAGGCGATAGACAGCCCTTCGCCCGATTGGAGCTGATAATTTTCGATGAATTGGGGAGAGTATACAACGATCCTGTCGAGTTTATGTATATTGGTGCGGGAGATTCGTATGCCACGGGGAATCCTCTCACCAGCACGCCAGCGACATCCATCCCAACTAGAATTTTCGACTTGAGTCCCACGAAGGCCTATCTCGGGAATCGGGGGAGGTACACGCACAATACTGCTAGCGTCGCCCATATCGTCTTCGTTTTATTTTTCTCCGTGGGATTCCCCCAGTAAAGAGCGATATGTGCAAGGTAGATTTACCCGATGTACGGTGGTGGTTGGGAGTGAAGAAAAGTGGGGTCCCCCTATTGACTCAGTCCCCCTCCACTCCTCCGATATTTTTTGAGAAGTGCAAACATCCGCATAGCCACTAGCTTCCTTTACCGAAAAGAGAAGATGAGATAAGGGACCAAGGGTCGATTGGTTGCTTGGTGGATTATATAAGCCGTGCCGGTGCAGAAGGCATCTTTTTCGAGCTGGTTAAGTCCTAGAGGATTTTTGATAGGGGAGATGTGTGCAAGCGGTCTAATCATTTGGGTAACATTGGGGTGAGCGATAAGCGTATATAAGGAGTCGTGGCAGACAATAATTAAGGGCCGACACACCCGTTCGTAAAAGCAAAGTGAAGAGCTGAGAGCGCGTGATGAAGAGGAGAAGCACAGATAGCGAGAGGAATCCGTTGCGCTGGAATGTTACTTATGCTTAAGCAGCCAACGGGGGGAATAAAACTGGAAAGGTATTGGTGAGGGCCGCCTTCATGTATGGGAGAGCCCATCTTTGCCCAATGCTTAGCCATGAGGGGATGATGGTACCGCCTCCCACTCCTGCAGTCATCAAGGCCTCAGCTGCGAAACGGAAGAAGGCGTGTCAGCTCTGTGGTCAAGATCTACGGCGCGTATGAGATGCTTACAGTAAATCTGCCCGGTGCCTGTCATCCACACAAACAGCCAGAGGAACCCAAGCGGCCCGCCGACAGCGTACCCAGTCGATCTCCTCCACCACTTCTCAAGGCGCATACCGAAAAATTGGGCCGTAAAGAAGACAAGGACCCTCAGGTCGGTGCGACCGATCGAGTACATAGCGAGGTAGTGGTACAGCGCCGATCCAAAAAAGGTTCCAAACTCCAAGCCGACCCTCCCAAGGAATGCTTGGAACGGGAATCCACCAAGAATAAAGAACGTCTGGCGGAGAAGATTGTGCCACCCTCTGGCCCAGTGGGCGTGGATTGACGTACGTCCCCAGGGTTTGTCAAAGAGAGGTGGCCAGGCTGCCGGATCGTGGCGAAGCACCAAAACGGCGAAGAAAGTGCCGATATCATAGCCCAAACCCAGCAGCCCGGGGACGAGGAGTCCAGTGGTGAAGGTGATCATGAAGGCCATCAAAGCGCGCTGGGCGGGAGGGAGGATGGAGATATAAATCGAACCACCTTCGGGCGTGCCTACACCGGGTATGAGCTTGAGAAATGTGTTGAGCAAGTCAACAGATAGATAGTATTGGAAGGCAGATGTGAGAGTCTGAAAGAGGAACTGGGACCGGTTCTTGACGTTGCGGCTCGTTGAGGCGACGTAAAGACCGCTGCCGGTACCAAAGTCCCAGCCAATCCCACGAACAGCAAAGCACATCTCAACGGCGTCGCTGAACCCACTGAACGTGGATTTCTTGGTCGCAGGTGCTGGGACGACCGATTTCTCTTCCTCGACAGCCTGCTTATCGGCAAGTGCGTCCTTCTCCCCGCTGGCAGCCTTTTTATCGACGACGGAAGCCGGTGCGGGAACCCCAACAGTAACCTCCCCAACCTTCTTACGCCCGTTACGAGCAAGGGCGAATTCAATCGACCTGGCGATGAGGGTAAGGCATCCGAGACCTAGTGATTATGAACAACACAGAGTCAGTTGATCAATGAGCCAGCGCGGCGCGTGTCAAGCCCAATATCTCGCCTCTGCCAAAATTGAGTGTAATGAACTCCTTTTCTGGCCACTGATACGCGAAAGTAAGCCGGATATTTATAGCCAGGGCAATAGGAAGAATGGCGAGTCGAAGTAATTGGGTGTTCGGTCTCCGGACGAGATAGCACATCACGAAAAATGGGAGGAATGGGATGAATGAGAGCAGAAAGTCATTCTCCCAGGTGACTGGAAGGCGCTCATTGACGGGAGGGACGAGGAAGGCAGCGATGCCCAGCGTTCTATCAGACGAGACGCATGCGTGAGTCCTGGTAGATATTTAGCAAGAAAGTGTACTCACCGCTGGTACAAAGTGTTGGCCATCGTCGGAGGGAAATTGCTGGAGGGTGGTGATCAGACGCCCCTAGCTCGCAGCTCGCGCACTTATAAAAACAAGAAAAAGCTAGAGTACCGAACCTTGGGGGCTTCGACGTGATGTCAGCAAGCTTTCGGCTATGTAGCTTCCGCTTCCCGGCTCCGGCTAACTCTGAACATGTCATCATGCATTACTTATAAATTTATTACCGTAAAGGAGAGAGAAAAAAAGAAAAGAAAAGATGCGCATTTACAAGAAAGCAATTTTGAGGGAGGAGAATAATCAAAAATAATTGTGGAAGTGGACGAGGGAGGATTTGAACCTCCCTACAGGCAATTTGATGTCATAGCATGTGCTTCCGCTAAGCTACTCGCCCGGGGTTGGTAGTGGACATCGTTGTTATAGATGCCCAGTATCACCGACCTTGCACTTCTTCCGCGTCCTCGCGAGTGCTCAAATCCACACATATCGATTAGTCTGTACCCTGTGCGCGGAGGGATGGAGGATTCTCGCAAACGTGCACTATGTAATCTTTATTGTTTCGAGGGTATTTGAGCAGCGACAGAGGTAACGATCGACTGTCTGATGCTTCGCGTCCGTACTCCGCATTCCAGTGCTGTTTATATTACTTCTAATTCCCTCAATTCTCGAATCTTCTCTGCCGAATACCCAAGGTCTTGGGAGAGGACCTGAACATACAAAGCAAGCATCGCGCTTTCTCAGTCGCCGCGCCTCTAAGAGCGATTTACTATATGTAGCTCACCTCCTCGGTATGCTGCGACAACCACGGCGGCGGACGCGAGATGGGCATCTTCTTTCCATTGTAGGTCACCGCTGGCGCAACGAGCTTGATTTTACCTGCGCGGGGATGCTGAGATTCATGTTGAGTGGAGAGTGGGGAATGTGTTGTGTGGGTGGGTCAGTGTTTAAGTGCCACGCGAGAGAGTTATGGAAGGACGTACGTCGACCTCGACAGTGATGCCTCGGGCTTTCGCCTGTGGGTGGTCAAACGTCTGCGCGAGATTGTTTATCGGTCCGAATGGCACGCTAAAAACATATCGCTCTGGTCAACCGGCCAATCTGAAGAAAAGAGAGAAAAGACAGGAAGAATAGAAAGTGGCCGCACCCCTTCCCAGTGAGCTTTTCGATCCAATGATCGCGTCCTTCGGTCATCAAGATCTCGGTGATTCGCTCGATCAAGGCGGCGCGGTTCTGTACTCGGAGGGCGTTGGTGACAAACCGCGGGTCAATCACGAGCTCGGGGCATCCGAGGACCTCTTCGGCGAGGAGCGAATACTGGCATAGCAAATGAGTATCGTGTGTCTTGGTAGAGAGGGTGTACTTACTTGACGATTATTGCCGGCGCCAATCATGAGAAAGCCATCTTTACAGGGAAAGGCCTGATACGGGACGATAGACGGGTGTGAGGTCCCGTGCCGCCCGGCTTCTTGGCCCGCAATGAGGAAGTTAGAGGCGATGTTGGCCAGCCCTGCAATCTGAACACACATGCCCAGATTCATCTGTAGCCACTTATTCGACAAGGGATGAACAAGGAAGGCGTACTTGTGATTCAAAGAGATTGCAGTCAACCCAAACACCTCTGCCAGTTTGCTGGCGGGAGATAAGTGCGGCCATAATTGCACCGTGTGCGTAGAGGCCTGTGGATATATCTGTGACGGCGACTCCGACTTTGCATGGGGGGCTGTCTGGTTCGCCGGTGCTAAGGCGTGCCTGTGTTAGATAGTAGCATGATGCCGGAGCTGCAAGGATTCGGCTGACATGTGCATAAGGCCAGCCTCGCCCTCAATTACGACGTCGTAGCCCGGGTACTTTGCCCATGGTCCTGTCTGTCCGTAGCCTGTGTCGAAACAGCATTGGCCGTGATCCTCCTAAGAGATCAAACTTGGCGTACCTACCCGTGATGGACGCATAGATCAACCGACTGTTGATTTTCCTGCAGTCCTCCCAACCCAGGCCAACCTCGGCGAGTTTACCAGGTAAAAAGTTCTCCACGAGCACGTCGGCCTTGCGGATGAGATCATGGATAATCTCTACCCCCCGTGGGTGCTTAAAGTTAACGGTGCAGGAACGCTTGTTGCGGTTCGCAGCTAGGAAATAGGCCGACTCGGCTGGGAGATGCGCCGCGGCGGCCGGAGCGTCGGACTTTAGGGGCGCAGATGGCGGATTCCACGAGCCTGGCGGGGAGCAAGCTAAGCGGCGCGTAGGTCGCTCAGAAACAATGATTAATCATACGCGTGTCGTCCCCGCGCTTGACTTCCTCCACCTTGATGACATCCGCGCTTTGTAGATATTATGTTATAACAGTCGCAGAGCGCGCCTAGGTGTGGGTGGAGTACACACCCGAGATCCGCGAGCAGCATGGTGGTCATGGGGCCAGCCAAGATGCGGGTGAGATCGACGACGCGGATTCCCTTGAGAGGGGGTGGCATCCCCGAGCTCTCGGGCTCAGGGGGATATCGACGTTGGTCTGTGGTCTTACAGCGGACGAAGGGGAACCGCGGGAGCGTCCGCGGACGCGCCGCCCAGAGCACCCGCCTCGATGACAACTGTACCAGCGACATGTAAGCCTCCGAGTACCTGTATACAACTTGGACGCGGTAGCTTCAAGCTGGTGGAGTTCATCCGTAGTTGGAGACGCGACGCGCGACCAGAAGCGACGGCTGTGCTGTGAGAAAGGATTTGGATCCGGCGCTTCGCTGCTTGGCGTCGGAAAGCGGCTTTTGCTTTTGGGCACCTCGACCTTCCCACTCACCCGCCATCCACCACCATGTTGCTGCGCAGACAGACCGCCGCCTGCCTCAAGAAGGCCGCCGCCCCGCGCGTTGCCACCGCCGCCGCGGCGCGCTCGCTGGCGACGCCCGCCAAGGCGCCGTCGCCAAACGACCCCTTTGCCAACGGCACCAATGCCTACTATGCCGAGGAAATGTACCGTCACTGGAAGGAAGATCCAAAATCTGTGCACGTCTCCTGGGACACGTATTTCTCTGGCTTGGAAAAGGGCATTCCCAGTCAGTTTGCCTTCACACCCCCGCCCGGCCTCGTGCCCACCGCTGCTGACGGCGCTCCAACCCTCGATGTTGGCACCGCTGCCGCTGGTGGGCAGGAGTTGACGGATCATCTAAAGGTGCGATAGTATAACCACCAGCATGTCAGTTCTCGACTCTAAAGCTTTCTCAACTAGGTTCAACTGCTTGTCCGTGCGTACCAAGTACGAGGGCACCACGTTGCGGACCTTGATCCCCTTGGGATCCTTGACGCGGATCTCAAGGACATCAAACCCGCGGAGCTCGACCTCAGTCACTATGGCTGGACAAAACGCGACCTCACCAAAACGTTTTCGCTCGGCCCCGGTATCTTACCCCACTTTGCCGTCGACGGCAAAAGTAAGATGACCCTTGGGGAAATCGTCGAGACTTGCGAGAAGATATACTGTCAGCTCAATTTACTTATTTGCTTAATTACCTTTCCTAATACAGTCATTCCTAAATAGGCGGAGCTGTCGGTATCCAGTACGTTCACATCCCCGACAAGGACCAATGCGACTGGATTCGGGAACGTGTCGAGACTCCTCGCCCTTGGAACTACACCATTGAAGAGAAGCGTATGATTCTCGACCGTCTTATGTGGTCCGAGTCATTTGAGAAATTCATTGCGAGCAAATATCCCAACGAGAAGCGCTTTGGCCTCGAGGGCTGCGAGTCTCTTATGCCTGGCATGAAAGCCCTTATTGACCGCTCCGTCGACGAGGGTGTAAAGTCCATTGTCATTGGCATGCCCCATCGCGGCCGTCTCAACGTTCTTGCCAACGTCATTCGGAAGCCCATCGAGGCTATCTTGAATGAATTCCGGGGTGCCATGGACGCTGACGACAGTGGAGGAGGAGATGTCAAGTACCGTACGTGCATGCTTTCATAGGTTGCCGCGGCTGTGTCGCTAAGCTTGTGTGTTCACGCCAGATCTCGGTGCCAACTACGTCCGCCCCACACCTTCCGGCAAGAAGGTTTCGCTGTCCCTTGTCGCCAACCCCTCCCACTTGGAGGCAGCGGACCCCGTCGTACTCGGCAAGACGCGCGCGCTGCAGCACTTTGAGCACGACGAGAACTCGCACGTGACTGCCATGGGCGTCCTCTTGCACGGTGACGCCGCGTTCGCTGGTCAGGGTGTCGTGTACGAGACGATGGGCTTCCACAACCTTCCCTACTACGGCACTGGAGGTACCATCCACCTGATCGTCAATAACCAGATTGGGTTCACTACCGACCCCCGCTTCTCCCGCTCGACCCCGTACCCATCCGACATCGCCAAGTCCATCGACGCGCCCATCTTCCACGTCAACGGCGACAACGTCGAGGCCGTCACGTTCGTCTGCCAGCTTGCTGCCGACTACCGCGCCAAATACAAGAAGGATGTCGTTGTCGACATTGTGTGTTACCGCCGGTACGGTCACAACGAGACCGACCAGCCGAGCTTCACGCAGCCGCGCATGTACAAGGCGATCGAGAAGCAGCAGACTCCGCTCGCACAGTACACCGCGAAACTCATCAAGGAGGGCTCGTTCACTGAGAAGGAGATTGAGGAGCACCGCAAGTGGGTGTGGGGCATGCTCGAGAAGGCGTCGGCGGGCAGCAAGGACTATAAGCCCTCGGCCAAGGAGTGGCTGTCGTCCGAGTGGCCTAACTTCCCCTCACCGAAGGAGCTTGCGGAACGGTCGCTCCCCCAGCGGACGACGGGCACGTCGGAGGAGACGCTCAAGCGTATTGGTCAGACAATCTCGTCGTACCCCAAGGACTTCAACGTGCACCGCAACCTCGCACGCATCATCAGCACCCGCGGCAAGACTGTCGAGGAGGGGAACAACATCGACTGGTCGACCGCCGAGGCGCTCGCCATCGGCGCCCTCGCGCTCGAGAAGATCCACGTGCGGCTGTCGGGCCAGGACGTGGAGCGCGGGACGTTCTCCCAGCGCCACGCGGTGATCCACGACCAGGAGAACGAGGCGCAGTACATCGCGCTGAATAACCTCGGCTCGGGTCAAGCCGGCTTCACCGTCTGCAACTCATCGCTCTCCGAGTACGGCACGCTCGGCTTCGAGCTCGGGTACTCCCTCGTCTCGCCCGACTCGCTGACGATCTGGGAAGCGCAGTTTGGAGATTTCGTGAACAATGCGCAGTGTATCATTGACCAGTTCATCGCGTCGGGAGAGAGGAAGTGGGTGCAGAGGTCGGGCATCGTGCTGAATCTGCCGCATGGATACGATGGACAGGGCCCAGAGCATTCGAGTGGGAGAATTGAGCGGTTCTTGCAGCTGTGCGACGACCACCCGCACAAATTCCCTTCGCCCGAGAAGTTGGACAG